ATTTCCCATGAAGCCAGAAGGCATAGTCAGGGGGACTGAACAAGCCCCAGACATAGTGCTAAAAAAGAGAAGTTCCTCCAAGAGCTTGTGTAGGCCCTGCATCTTCTTGACAAACCTGAAGCTTTAGAGAGCATGGTTCTACAAAATCCTGGTATTGATTATGGTGGTAGAAATCTGTTATATTTGTGAATACATTGTGAATCTGTTAAATAGTTTTTCCACGTGGGAAAATTCTGATTTTAAAATCCAGCCTCCTCAGTATAGAAGTCAGAAATAAAATTCCCAGCATCCCTTGCAGCTTGCTACCTCCCCCATGTGAGACTTTGATTTGGAAGTGAGCAATATGAGGGAGCTAAATATCACTAAAGTTCACCAATATTTCTGGTTTTTCTCTCCTTCTGAGCACCAGGAGGACTGCATTTCCCTTGTCCCTTGATGTTAGGTGTGGCCATGAGATTTGTTTTGATCAATGCAAGATGAGCAGAAGCCAGTGTATGTTTCTCCTCACTGTCTTCTGCCAAGGCAAACTCTGAAGGTTCATATCTAGAAGGTGGCACCATCCTAAGATGGTGGAGCCTCGATCTCTGAGTGACCACAGTGAGCAAGACCCCTCCTCCCCTCTTCATGCTGGAACTGTAGCATGAGCAAAAAATACATCACTGTTATTTTAAGCTGGGAAGATCTGGGGGTTGTTTGTAACTACTGTGTTACCTAGCTAATCCTGACGGATAGAGGAAGGAAGCAAGTTGGCACAGGACTTCAGTTTCTGCTGTTGCTGGTAGTGCAAGTGTCCAGCTTCTGGGGGCGGGAGTGGTAACAGCGGTGGTTTCCCGGTGGTGGCAAATATTGAGTTCTTACCACAGAAGGGCCAAAGAGCTTGTAAACTTGGCAGTCAAATTGAACACTTAGTGCTTAGTATTTGGAGTGGCGGTGGCTGTGGTTTCCTCATCAGGTTGTGTGGTATGGTTTGGGTGTTGTTCCTAGAAACTTAGCCTCAAGTCCATTTCCCCAGCCCGCCTAACAATTCTGAGCTAAATAATATCGTTTAACAAATCCCTTTTATGCTTCAACTATCCAGAGCGGATCCTATTATTTGTGAAAAAGAACTCTGGCTGATAAAATTACTATATTAAATAAATCTCATGTTCCATCAATTATAAGAGGCAAGTTATTTTATGTACTACTAAGAAAAAAAGAGGCTAAAAAACTATTACATGCCATTAACTGTAAGCCATATTCTGATCTCAGAGTTGTTTAAACTAGAGAAAAAATGTGCCTTAGGATCAATGAAATATGTTATTAGCAGAAGGAATTCTCCCCCAGATGAAACTGACAGACAGCTGATTATGGTTTTAAAAGAACTGTGTCATCTGGGAGGAAAAATAAAATCACACCCGATTCTCACAAATTCAGAGATCTGTGATTGCTCAATCCCAGGATAATCCCTAAGACACCACTAGAAAGTGCAGTGCTAATCAGTACAGTGCCCCACAGAGAAATCCTCCACAATGGCGCTCTCAGAGCCCTGGATAAGGGATCTCACCCTGTGGGAAAAACCTGGGGCAGCCAGACTGGCTGACCAAGGAACTCTGTAGCCAAAGAAGTGAGTCAACAAACAGATACCATGAGATTTCCTAGTCCCATCATTTTCATTGTTATTCATGTCCAAAAAACACATAGGCAATGCTCTAGATTAGTGACCACTGTGCAGTGTTTTCTTTTTATTCCATTTTATTCTCTATTTCTTCCATCACTAAATATCAGGAGTTTTTTTGGGGGGTAGGAATGATTTAAAGATAGTTCAAAAGCAGTTCAAACAAAGGTAATGGGATTACTAGAAGCCATATTCACACCTTACAGAGACCTGACTAGAGTGTAAAGGGACATTTCCCAGAGAACCTATATATGAAGAACAGTGGTCCTATGATATAAGCTCCAGAAGCAGTAGCTGGATGTGTCAGTGAGCTGCCCTCCATCAGAGAGGAGGTGGATTTATTGGCATATGTACAGCGGGATGGTTAGATTATGTAGGTGAGGGCATTTCTGGAATCATATATATAGGAAAATGATGTGTGTGTGTTGGGCAGAGTGAACTACAGTAAACACCTACCATTCTGCTTTTTTCAGGATCTCTCTTCTCATGGGACCACCCCACCACCACGTCCGCTGCATCCCTCCCACCCCCCAATGCCCATAGGGTTATCATGTGGGCCATGTTAGGCAACTTGATCCTCATCCATCCCTTGGCCATAGTTAAGCATCTTACTAAGCTGAGCCAGGGTACTTCCTGAGGAATTTGTGAACTGCAACTGAAAAAGAAGCCAGTGTCTGTTGGATGCCTAGACAATAAGATTTAAGCTTTGGGATTGTGTGAGTCAGGTTTCTCACCAGGTGGACCCGAAGAGCATTGGAAGCTAGTCTGGAGGTAGGGAGGGCAGCGGCTGGGGCTGGGGCAGGGGAGGGAAATAAAGGAGACAGGCAGAAAGTAACAGATGAGAGATGGAGAGAGAACATAATGGGTTTGTGTCTTAGTTCCAGTGGTTCCTGAGGCATCCCTGTCTTTAGGTTTCAGTATCTGATTATAAATGTATCTTTTTGCTTAAACCAGTTCTTACTCTTCCTGGGTGAGCTCATCTACTTTTCTGGTTTGACTACTACTCTTTTGCTGATAACTCACAAAACGTTATCTTCAGCCTGGATCTCTCTCCTGAACTTCAGACCTGTTTATCCAACTGTTTATTAGACATCTCAACTTGGGTGTCCAATTAGTACCTCAAATTCAACATATCCCAAACAGAACTTACTATCCCCTCCCCCATGCCACCTTCAGCCCCCTGCTGAAATTCACCCCTCCTCATGGGTTCCCTATCTCAGTCCACGGCATCACAGTGTCCCTAGTCACCGACCTGGGAGTCAGCCTAGACTTTCCCTCTCTCCTACCCCCCATATCCTATAGGTCTAGGTCTCTGAGTCCTGCCAATTGTAACTCCTAAACACCCTCAGTGCTCCGCTGTTCTCTCCACTCCTACCCTTCTACATCATTTCAGTCCTTGTCATCATTCCTTGCCTTCACTCTCAAAAGCCTTCAATCCCTCCTTCCACCCAGCAGCCTAAATCATCCTTCTCATTTCTGGATATGATCACATTTATTCCTCTGCTCAAAATTCTTCAGTGGCTCCCCACTGTTTTCAGGATAACATCCGAACTCCTGCAGCTGGGTCACAAATTCACTCACAGTACACTCAGATGTGCAATGATATAAGTCTCCTGTTTCCTAGAACTGATTTGATCTTGCTCACAATGCCCCCACCCTGCTGGTTAACGGCCAGTGGCAACTAAAATTAATCCACTCTAGTAAACTCAGTAGGGTCCAAACATTTTAGACAAAGTAATTCAGTAGGTTTGGATGACTCAGTCTTGCAGATTATTTTACCTTTCCCTTTCTCATTTTCAAGATAGGATTTGGATTTACAGGGATCTCATGTAATTTCATGGCATTGGAGGAAGGGACCCCTTAGCCATGTGGTCCTCGGGGTTGTGTCAGTTGGCATTTGCTGAGATGTGGTTGGTCTGGTATGAAAGAATTCGTGAGTTACAATCCTGAGAGGTAGCTAATACTAAAAACCATTCTACAGATGAAGAGACTGAAGCTAAAAGAGGTCACAAAGTTAGCTAAGTGGCAGAATCAGGAATCGATGCCACCCAGATTCTGGTAGGCACACGGATCTTTATCTAGAATTCCAGAGATAAGTTAGCGCTGAATTTGGGAACACTGCGAGTCTTCATGGTATAGCTTTCGGGTTGTGCTCCTCCATAGAGAACATGTAGAGTGAGATGAGAAAAGGGTCCAGTTTAGAACACTTAGGAATCACTGGCATACGAGGTGGGGTAGGAAGGCCTACCTGACGGATCCTGCCCAAGCTGGTCTTCCTCTTAGGACAGCTTCTAGGATGGACAGTCATGCCTGGTCCTGTTCCAGCCAGGGCTGAGACATCCCTCAGAGCACCCCGTTACTCTCTGTCCTAGACACCCTCATAGCAGAGCAAAGCACAAATCCGCAACCATTCCTGAGGGGGAACTCAACAAATGTGTCCAAGGACACACTGGCAGAGCTGCTCACCCCTCCTGGGGCCAGGGAGTGTGGAGCCAACTACAGACCCTCTGAAGTGGAGATGCAGACCCAGGTGGAGTGAACGTGAAGGAGTATAGGGGGCTTCCAAGAGGAGGAGGTTCAGTCTCCTCCCAGACGTGGGGACCCAGAGCCTGCCTCCACATGACGGGGACAGAGACCTCTCACAGATATGGGGGGCGGTCTCCTCAGGTATGGGGGGTACAGAGGCTTCGGCTTTTCTCAGATATTGGGTGTGCAGCTCTTCCAGGTGTGGAAGGTGCAAGAGATCCCCACAAAGAGGTGGGCCTCCCCCGCCCCCTTCCCCTGGGAGGGATCGGGACTGAGCAGCCCCCTGAGCCCTCCTCCCCCGCCCCCGCCCGGACAAAGAGCAGGCCAGTCCCCACCCCAGCGCACGACCAATAGCACGAGGGCCTGGAGTGGCCAGCCAATTGCATGGCGGCAGCGCGCGGGGATGGCTCCGCCTGCGGCAGGCCGCCGGCCGCCGGCTACCCGGGAGGCGGGGCTCCTCGCTGTTTTTGCGGCCGGCCGAGCCTGGCCGAGCCCAGACGAGCCCAGCCGAACGTAGCCGAACGCAGCCGAGCCCAGCCGAACCCCGCGCCCGAGCCGCCGC